TGGGGACTGTGTGACACTCGAACCCCCTGGTAATTGTGCCAGAGGATGAGTTAAAATCTATGGCAGCAGTGTGGGTACAAGCCTCAGGCTCTGCCTCTGTCAGGGGTTTGGCAGCCCAGTGAGGGGAGTGAGCACAGATGACAGCAGGAGAGCCAGCCTTGCTTCACAGCACCTGAGAGCGGCTTCCACAGCTTCAAGCATTTCAGGGCTTTAGATTTCTGTTGTATCCATGTGGCAGATGGCCTATCTGTCCCATAACATGCAGCTTCCTTCCCAGATTTGTGACCATTTATTCAAACCCAGTTGTCTGCAGCTCCCTTTAACCGCTCGGTGCTGAGAGCCCCTTGGCTGGGCAGAGCCACTGGACAGGGCTCACCCTGGGCCCATTAGGCACTAGAGGTGCTCCTGCCTCTCAGAACATCAAACAATTTAGTTTTCTTCTGTACTGAGGGAGAGAAAAACCTCCTTGCTGCAGGGCATTGGCAGGACTGATTTCAATTTGCCAGTCACTCATTCTTTGTTCTGGATCCTCTGCTTCCACTCTTTGTCTTGCTTATGCGATGCTTTCTCTTTTTTTCTGCAGCACTTGTGAGAGGAAAATTCTTTGCAAGCTGGTGCTGTCCACTGCAGATGTGTCAATGTACATCCTTGAACAACTGCAACATCTGCCTGTGTCATCCTGTGTCATCCAGGAACCTTTTTGCCCAGCTCAAGATGCTGATAATCTTAATTCTGATCATGATATAGTGATGACGATATTAATAAATGATAAGTAGCTGCTTTTTAATCAAAGCTTTTGATTTTGTTGGGGTTTTGTTGCTGTTGTTTGGTTTTGTTATTGTATAGAAAATAGTCGAGAAATGTAATAAAACCAACAATAAACCAATTATAAGTAAAATGAAAAAGGAATGTAGTTGTTCCTGCCTGGTTATAAAAAGATACCAAAATAAAGAAGCAATTCAAAAGTAAAACAAAATGCATACTGGAAAACTTGTGTATACTTTGTAATGGGGTTGTGGGGTTTGGGGGAACCCTGTCTGTCAGGCGTGGTTGGCTGTGGGTGCAGCTGGTGTATGATTATAAAATGTGTAATAAATCTGGAAGCTTTAACATGAGTTTCATTCATCCAGCCTTTACACAAGGCTGAATAACTTACACCAGCCCAGTCTGTCTAAAGTGGCTGCAATAGTGTTTTTTATAAACTGCTTATATAAAAAACTTGGGCAATTTCATCAAACTGCTTCACTCTCCCAGCCAGGGCCCTCCAGTGCTCCCACGGCTGGGGCAGAGGCTCAGGGACTGGAGAGCTGGGGGTGAGAACAGTAAAGGGTTTGGGCTTGAAAGGCTGAAAGAAGGCAAAAAATAAAACTGAACTTTCCAAACACTATTTTGTTTTACTAATTTTAGCTGATTTATTACTTGAAATTTCCCACAAATCCTTGGTAAACTTCTGCTTTCAGCAGCTTTCTCAGTCATCACCTGCATATATTTCTCAGCTGATTGTGCCATGTATGGGGCAGGGGACCAGGTGGAAAGCAGAAATTAAAGAAAAACCTAAAAAATATGGGAAAAAGTTGCAGATTAAACATCCCCATAGATATTAAAAGGAATTAGGTAAAACCTGAACCAAACCCAATTAAAAAAGTTTTTTAACTTTTTTTTTAACAGCAAGGAATCCTTTTTTCTTAAAATATGTTGTTGTTTTGTTTTTTGGTTTTTTTTTTACTTAATGAATGTTTTGGTGGCACTGAAGAGGGAAGGGGATTGATTTTTCCAAACCAAAGTGATGATGGGTGTTCCGTGCTCTTGACTATCCCTGTTCTCGTGCAGGGTGGGTGCAACACAGGTGCAGAGTCTGCACTGGCCATGAGGCTCAGCTCTCTGGTTCCTGGGACCAGGAGGGTCAGGGAAGAGCTGATGGAGGAGGGCTCAAGGTAGAGAGTAATTAAATAACAATCACAATGTTATTTCTGTTTATAAATGATTACTTAGGGGAACTGTCTCCTCCCTCACATGCCATGACTGGTTCATAGCATGGTCCCTCTGGGTTGTGACGTTATATTTGGCATGTCAGTACTTTTCTGGGATTTGTTTTGTCGCTTCATGTCTCTGAGCTCTGTAGTCCTACTCTGGAGCTATCCATATGACTGATTTTTGGGAGACAGAGCCAGGCTGTGTGACAGAAAAAAGAGCAACCAGGGAGGCACAAGGAGCAATGAAGGACCCAGAGCTTAGACTGGGCAGAGGTGGCTTGTGCTTCCCTGCTGCCCAGGGCCAGAGGACAACGAGCTCCTGGCCCAGATGCCAGCAGCTGCTGGGCTGCACGCCCTCCGCTCTCCCCTTAAAATGTGCAAAGCGATTTGGGGAAAAAGGAGTGAGGTTTGGCCATTGACAGCAGCAGTTAATCTCTCCCTGCTGCCTTGTGAATAATGGGCACAAATTATGGTCTGGCAAGGAAAGTATGAAATGCACCTCTGCTCGTTACATGATTATCGGAGCCATTGTGAAAGAAAATCCTTCCTTGTTTCACACTCCCAATAAGAATTCCATCAGTGGTAAGCAGCTTTCCACAGCCTTTCTCACCAGCTCCTTCCCTGCTTTATCCATTTGTATTGAGGCTTTATGAACTGCCCTTTCAGCTGCATTCCTGCCTTCTCCAATGGCTTTTGGCCAAGCTGGTTAATCGTTTCTGTTAACTTCCTTTTAGTCTGAACAATCTGAGCTCCCCTGAACGTCTTCTTGTGTTTTGTTCAGACACCAGTTCCTCCTGGTGCAAGATGACTGATGACAGTAGCTGTGGGCAGGCCCCATGCTGAGGAACAAGCCATTTGAAAATAATATGCTCTTTAGCCATTGGAATTATTAATAGCAGCTTTGCTTTCCTGTCTCGGGGCATTTAACACTCGAGGATTTAGAGATTTAGCCAATCATGAGAATTAAGCTTTTAGCTCACAACAGACTCCCAACTTGACTGGCTGGGAAGGGGAGATGGGCCCATTTTCTTCTCAAGGTGCCACAGTTTGGTATTTTGGTAGAAGCTGAATTGCTGATACTGTTACTGATGATGTGCAGCAGCCTGACTGCTCAGAGGAGGAGCTGTCATTGAATGGACAGGTCACGTCCAAGTCACCGCCCTGGTGGGTCCTGCTGCTGACCCTGGGAAGGGGTTAAAGGCTCAGTGGGCTGAGGCTCATGTCCTTACTCAGGCTCAGTGGGCTGAGGCTCATGTCCTTACTCAGGCTCAGCCTCACTGCTCCTTTCTGGGAAGTGCTTCTTTGGCACAGCGGATCCAGTGAACCTTCAGTCCTGGGATGCTCACTCTGTCATTTCCCAGCTGGTGCCTCACCCTGCTTGCACAGCCACATGGAGAACGGCTGGGATTGCTTCACCTTCAGCCCAAACACAGCTGTGCATCAGCTGGGAAAGTCTGTGATTTATCTTTGCTCGTTTCTCCCGTTGTACATAAAGCACAAGATGAGCACAAATGTTGATGTTGGAGATGTTAACAAGCGCCTGAATTCTGTGCTACTTCTGTGCTGGATAAACACAGAGCGGTTGCTGTAATCCTTACATGGAAAGTGAGAGCAACATCAGCGTCACCAAACCTCTGAGAGCTCGAGGCTTACTACACTGATCTATTTATAAGCAGACACTCTTCATAAAGGTTTAAAGGAAATATCAGTGATGTGCACACGACACATCATCATCACGAAAATGAGATGGTACAACAGTCGAATCATCAGAATCTATTGCTTTTTGTAGCCCAGATGGTGTGTGGAGATCCTGAGCCAAAACAATGAACCACGTCAATCAGTGGTTTTTGTGACTCCCCTGTCACCTTTTCATTCCAAATGTAAAAATGCATGAAAAGGCAAAGTTTGAGCCCAGTGCCCCCAGCAGCACTCACTGTCCAGTGAACAGTGGCTCAGGAAAATACACTGCCTTTCACCTCAACTTTTGCTCTGCCCCAGCCCAGCCCTCACCCACCTGTGGCAGAGCCCAGCACCCCTCCAGCACAGGCCTTTGTCACAGCCCCAGGTCCCCAGGTCACACCCTTTGTCCCTTTGTCACACCCTTCCCTCTGCCCCTTCTCTGTTTCTATGTTTCACATGGACAGCCTGAGTAGAAACACTCACTCTTTTATCCAATAACTCACTCAAGAACCACAGCTCTGTCTGGAGAAGCCAACTAACACTCCTTTTAATTCTTTACGTCAGCTCTGGGGTGTGAGGATGTTCACTCACCTGCAGCACTGACACGTGTTCCCACCTGACAATGTGCAGCCTGTCTCCCAAACAGAGGGTTGTGTGGAGTCATGGAAGCATGAAATGCACACACTTGAAGACAGGGAAGAGGCTGGTGTGAGGGACAGGATGATCTGCCTTGCCTGCTTACAGCAGGTACAGCTGGGACTCTGAGCAGGGAAGATCGGCACACAAGGTAATTTTGCTGGTTGCTGTTCGGCATAATTTGAGGCTGGAAAGGCCTTGGAAAGGGAGTTACTTGGAAAGATATCCTGTGCCAAATCATAGTGCTCTCCAGCACTGGAGCTGCTGTACAGCGTGTGCTGTGCAGGACATGTTGACATGTCATGCTGACACAGATATGGGGCCCCGGAGCTGCCCCTCGCTGGAGCCACGCTGGGCACACATTGATGGCACACACCAGGCACACGCCAGGCACACGCCAGGCACGCATGGCCAGCACACCCGCCAGGCACATGCCAGGCACACACCAGGCACACATCAGGCACACGCTGGGCACACGCCAGGCACGCATGGCCAGCACACCCGCCAGGCACACACCAGGCACATGCCAGGCACACATCAGGCACATGTCAGAACACACGCTGGCACAGCCGCTGCCCCGCCTGCTGCCGGCTGGTTCCCTTGGCTTCACTCGCAGTGACGCTCAGACCTGCACCAGAAAATGAAAAAATGGGAAGAAATACTCCCAGAGTCACTGTAGTTTTGACGCTTTTGTTATTTTAGTCTCATTCCCGTTCCACAATAAGTGCTGGATTGAAACCACACCCGACTCAATTCATTGTGGAAGCCGGTTTCTGCCTTTCTTGACCGAAGCTGTCATTCATTTGTTCTGCTTTTGCCCTGTGAGTGACTTTAATCCAGCTGTTTACACCACACTGAGCTCCCCCCGCTACCCTCCCTATGACTGCATGGCTGTCTCTGACCACTGCACTCCTCGCTGGCTCCCAGGAGGAGCTGTCACAGCTGCAGGAGCCCCGGGGACCTCTCCTGGCGCCGGGGTGCCCTGCCCCGGCCGTGCCAGGGCTCTGGCTGGTGTGGCTCTGCAGGCTGGGGACACCTCTCGCAGCAGTGGCAGGGCCTGTCTCCTGCCCACAGTGCTCTGGGCGCTGGAAGGAGGGGGCAATCCGGGTGACTAAAGCAGATGGCAGATTTCTGCTGTGATGCAGATTTCAATTAATGCAGTATATTAATCTTGTAAATCCTATAAAGTAATGTTAAACAACCAGGCCTAATTCCACGCCTAAATTCTATATTAAGGTTGACCACATATTTTTAACTAGATGACTATTTAATGTGACTATTTAACTTACAGATATCATGAACAGGTGTTGGGCAAGGCTTGGTACATGTTGCCCTTTCTTTCCATTGTAGAGCTCTCACAGGAAACATGTCTAGCCCCGGGCTCTCTTACGTATCCAGTTTGTTTTGGATACTTGAGATGGTAAAGGACACAAAGGGAAAATAATTCAAGTAATAAGGGAACAGTAAAAAAACATGAAGCAATAAGCACTGCAATGGGGGAAGGCTTTACAATAAACTGTTCAAACAGATGTGAAAGGAAATGAAACATTGCTGTCAGTGGAGCAGAAATCGTTTTACAAGTCAATCTCTTAAACTGTACAAACTGCTAAATGGAAGGTTGTGTTTAGCAGTCTGAAACAAGTTGCAAATTCTTGAAAGAAACGGGTTTGCTGAGACTATGACACACAATAAAGCTGACAGGGCTGCCTGATGTGTCGGTGTATTTGCAAGGAGGATCCTGTGTCATTCTGTAATTAATTTCATTGCAAGTGTGATATGTGCATGCCTAACACATCACGAGGTGATGGGCAGATGTAGATTGTTCATAGCACTGTCATTAATTTCACCACTGTTGACAATCAGCTCATGGAAATAAGTTGCCAAATCCCAGCAGGATCCTGAGATCCTGAGTTTGAACCCTTCCCATGAGAGATGAAGTGCTGCACTTCTGGAAAGTGGAAATCAAAACTCTTGTGAATTGAACAGCCTCATTTGCTCCGCAGCTAATTACACCTGGTTTGGTTCTGCTCTGTGTTAGCAATATCATCTGAAAACTTTAATTAAAAAAAGGAAAAAAACTTTCTTGATCAGTAGCAGTCAATACTCGGGAGTGGGCATCTGCCTCACCTGAAGTCAGCACTTGGCGACTTGTTTCACATGGATTTTTGTGCTGTGCTGGCTTACACACAGGAGATGCTATTTTGCAGGGCTGGAGTTTACCGTGATATCTGTTGGTATCTGCAGATGGAGGAGGGACCAAGTGTTCCACAGTGTGCAGCATCCCACAGCAGCTCTCCCTTACATCAGCTGAGCATCCCCACCTCTCAGAGCGAAGTCCGGGAAGGCTTCCCAGAGCACAATGATCCCAGGTGACCAGCTCCGAGGTTGTCCACTCCAGAAGAGCCAGTGTGTGAGAAGGGCTAACACAGCAGCTTTCAGGTGTTCACAAATAACTGAGAAATGAAGTATACAAGTGTTGAATAAGTTTGTGCACTCACAACTGAACACTCGGAGCAGCTTTAACTTAGACCAGTGCACACTGAGACTGGATACACTGACGTGTGTGGAAGTGGGGCTGGAAGGGAATTGATGGGCTATGTGTGGGAACTGTTTCTGGAGCTGCAGATGCCAGATTTACCAGGAATTAGTGCCCTCAGAGGTAAGATTCACCAAGGTTTACAATTGCAATGGGATCAGGCTGCGCTCAGCCCTGATACACGATAGATGCTCACTGAGCATGGGGCAGAGGGGTGGGGGTGCGTGGGGGGATGGAGCCAGTTCATGGTGGGGGAGCTGGAACAGCACTTGGGCCCACACCACTGCTGGTGGGAGGCTATGACCCCCGGACCTGCTGCCCCCTGAGCTCCCCATGGCGATCTCTGCTGGGCTCTTACCTTCCCCTCAGGGGTCAGGGCTCTTCTGCTCCTCTTTCTTACCATCCCCTGACACCAAGAGCTGTCCCAGACTCAGACCAGGAGGGTGTCAGTGCCTTGCACTGATTATCAAACTTGCATCTCTTAATTAGCAGATTCTGATTAATAATCAGGATTAATAAATCAGACCTGAATAGAAAAAGCCAAACACCTCTTTGCTGCCTCTCCTTGTTGAATCTATGTGTCCCCTGTGTTCAGAGTTACCCAGGACACTGACCTGGTCTGCACGGTGGGGATGGCGTGTCCGGCAGTGTGGAGGAAGGATGCTCTCCAGGAGAGTGCTCTCCATGAAGAAGTTCTCCGTGAGGGTGCTCTCCATGAGGAAGCTCTCCGTGAGGAAGCTCTCTGACAGCTCTCCTGATTTACCTCTCAGTTTGCCTCAGGCAGGACAAAGCAGAGCAAAGAGATTCTCTGGGCAGTAATCATGAACTGCTATCAACAGATTTGATTCTCACTGACCTGGAAATACTGCTGATTCTGCCCAGGGACACAGTTCTTACTCCACACCCCTAAACGAACCTTGTTTTCTATGGAGACTGCACAGTAGAACAGCCTGTGATTTGTTGTCAGAAGCTCTTTTCTAAGCAAACCCACGTAGAGACATTCCTCCTGGTTTGCAGCATGGTGTGACTGATCCCTCCAGGGACTCTCCTCCTTCAGGAAACAGAATTGCAGCAAGCAATGGCATTAAGTGTCATTACACTGGCATGAACAGAGAGCTCTGCAGGCTTCCGTGGAGAGGCATTTCTGATCAGGAATGAGACTGTCGAGGAAGGTTCTCATTTTGAAGGGCTTTTATCCAGTTACTCCAGGCTCACAGTTTCTTTGATGACTAAAATAGAATTGAAGGAAGAGCTACTGTCAGTAAGACTGATGCTAAAATATTCCCAAGATTGAGAAATATCTTATTGGTTTAAAGGGAAAAAATCTCTGGCAGAACTAGGGAGATGAGCAGTAATTTCTTTGGTTCAGTTTAACTTGTGCTGGGGCTCCTTCTGCCTGAAACTCTGAGTTAACAGTTCAGGTTTAGTTCTGGCAATCGAGTTTTTCAAATAGTCATGTAGTTCAGACCATGAATAGCACAGGTTCAGCTCAGCTCCCTGAGAAGCCTTTTGTACAAACCAAGCATGGAGGAAACACTGAAGGTTTGTTTTTCCTGGCAGAACACCCTGCACAGAGCAGACTTCAAAGCATCTGCAGCCAGGAGCTCCCACACACTATCCCAGTGCCCACACAATGGGCACAAGGACAAATACCAACCTGACCCTGCATGTTGGTAATGGGAAAGATTCGCTGAACGTTTCCTCCAGAGACCAGAGGCCATTTTTCCTGTGTAGATCCATTTATTCCTGAATTACAGTGCCCAGGGAGTGACCCAGTATTCGTTCTAAGGTGTGAGAAACACATTTTCTTCTCAGTGCTGTGTGAAATTTCAGCTTCTCCTTTTCCCATTCACCTCGTGTGAAGCTGGTATCAGATGCTGTCTGCCAATGCCATTTTAATGTGCTTCAAAGATAAGGGAAGTTTCTTCCTTGGTACATTGAATCTCAGTGTCACTACTCCTGGCAGGATTTGAGCATACATTTGGTTTTCTCAAGAGTTAAGAGGAGCACACAGAGATGCTCATGGCCTAAACTGAGCTGATCTCAGCACCTTCTGTACACTTCCCAGTACTGAGTATTTTCTGAGATTGGGTTTTCAAGGCTGTTGGTTCAGGATTCGGGGCTGGGTGTGCAGGTGGGTGGCTGAGCACTGTGGCAGTGCCCTGGCAGAGCACACCAGCCACAGCTCCTGGGCCTTCCTCGCTCTCCTCATGAGCAGTGTCAGGTCCCGCCCTGATCCGGTGACATTCCTGGCACCAGAGCAGCTGATGGCCAGTGTCTTGTGTGGGAATGGGGTGCTGCAAGACAGTGTGAGAAAAATTTGTTTAAAACCTCACCCAGTGTTACAGAAATGTAAGTTCAGCAATGACAGAGAAGCACCTTTGAGTACATTTCTCCAGTAAGCTTTTTGTGCATTACCCTTGCATTGTTCTGGGGAGGTTGTCACAAGACATATCTGCTTATCTCCTGAGCTCTTTCTGGGCTCCCCAGCAGACATCCCTCTGATTCCAGCCTGGGCTCACTCTCTCCTAACTCCAAGCAAATGCTCCAGCAGCACTGGCTGCTATCTCAGTGTTCTGCTCTCACACAGCTCACTGTGCAGAGCAGGTGAGTGTTCCCAGTGCTGCCCTTGGCCCGCACTACCTGCATCCCTGTGCTCCACATTCCCTGCTCCCAGGGCACAGAGCCTGTGGGTCTCCTGGTATTTCACACCTCTGTGGGGAGACCTTTTCCCTGATGCGAGTTCATTACCTGCCAAAAGTCACAAGAAGCAGGATGGTCATGTGGTGTGTGGCACAGGTGAGTTCAGATCACAATGGCAGTGCTGCACAGACCTCTTTGGAAGAGGTTTTTTCTCTCAAAGTCTGTTCAGGAGGATATGAAAATTTACTCTCACCAGAGCTGAGAGCAAGAGGAAATATCACCATAATTTCTTTGCAGATGAAAATAGGTTTGCAGTGATTTGCAAATGTGGCATAGTTAACTCTGCAAATGAGTCTGGAGCTACAATATTCCAATCTGGCAAATGATGAGGCTTTCAGATCTCAGCTGCATGGCAGGTCCCGTGTCCCTCACTATGTTAGAGCATGTGTTTGGTATCACACCTGTGTTCTCACTTTGCTGTGGGAAGACTTACTGAAGTATAAACCTTGGGCTCCATCTCTGACCTCCCTAAGCAGCACTTTGTCACTGGGATGGAGCTGTCCCTGCAGGCTGGCCATGTTGCTGGGGGGTTTGGCATGGCTACAGGCAACAGAGAGTAAGAGAACTGCACATGAACCCTCCCCCCAAACCCCTTCTCTCTGCTGAGAGGGAGCCCACCAGCCACCCTGGGAGCCCCTGAGCCCATGGGGACACCCCGCTCCCTGCTCCAACACGGCTGTACCAGGGTGCCAGGGTAGGGCTGCAGGATGCCATGATCTCTCCTCCGTTTGTTTTGTCCTCACCCTTGGGGCAGCAGGAAGCGGTTGCATGACACTGGTGGGAGGCTCTGCCTTGGCTTTGATTCCCTGTTGCTCCTGCTGAGGCTGGCTGTCCTCCCACTGAGACTGGCTGTCCCCATGCTGCCCAGGCCCCGGCTCCAACACCCCCATCCCACTGAGACCCTGGCCAGCTCTGCAGGAACAGGGCAGGAGTTTGAGGGGGAACATGTGCAGTCTCCCATCACCAGTGAGAGTGTGCACCCTGCCACCAGCTCTTCCCACAGGGACAAGCATAGACCTGGATCCCGCACCAAAGCACAGGTCAGTGAAATGGGGTGGTTGCCTTCTCCCTGCCAGCTGGAAATGTGTCTGAACATAATCCTGATGTGCTGGAATCAACAGCCCAGTGACCATGGTGCACATATTAATACTTACTGTTGAAGGGGGATGGCAGGGATCTCCCTGAGAGAAGGCAGTATCCATCAGCGCAGTACAGGGGATCAAGACAGCTCTTCCATGAAAAATAATAAAAACATATGAAAGATGGCTGGTTATTTTAAAGAAAACAAAGAAAGCAGTTTTAAAGCCAGTTGAGCTTTTGACCCCAAACTTCCAACTAATGTCAAACCAGAAAGTTCTAATAGGAAATGCAGTATGTGCCAGAGAAGATGTGGCTGAGGACCCAACCTGTGGAGAAGAGCTGCAGAGAGATGAGTGCTCTGGGTCATGTGCTGAGAAGGGGAGTGAAGCAGAGCTGGCAGCTGGAAAGTACAGCAAGGGCTGGCCAAGGGTAGAGGTGGGCAGTTCCTGCAGGGCAGCAGCACCTCACAGAGCTGGGGGGTCCAAGGGTGGGGAGGGCTCTGTGGGTCCCTGCTCCCCAGCACAGCTTTTGGACACATCTGAGGAGTGGGCAGGGAACTCCAAAATCAGGCCTTTCCCTACCCCTGCCCTGCTGTCCCTCTCCTGCAGAGGTTGCTTTTTCCTCTATGACACAAACAGAAATTCCTCCTCTGCTCTCCCCCTCCCCACACTTCTGCATGCCCTCTCTGATCCTCTGCTTTGTTCTTGCTGTTCCTCTGCACCTTTGCTCCTCACACTTGTCTGTTTTTTGGATTACAATAACATGATTTAATCGTCCTCCTTTTAAAAATAATCCCATCCCTGATCCCATTCAGCTTCCCAGCTATAGTCCCTTCTGCTTTCATCTGGAAAATTATTTAACATGCTGTACAGGCTCTCTTTCATCTGTTTTGCTCTAGACAGTTACCAAGCACTCGTGGATTTAGCACCCACCTTTTCCCAGTTGGTTTGATTTCCCAAAAAGAGAACATGAGGGACAGAAACCTGCCCATGCTCTGGGCAGTCAGTCCAACAGCACACAGGGATGGATGGTTGTTCACTCCCACTGCCCTTCCCTCCCATATATTCATTAACTAGGACTAGCACTGTTATTCCCTGTTCTGACACTGCCGATGCTCCTGTTTCCGATGCCAGCTCGGAATGGATGTGTTACTCTGACAGGAGCCTGATGAAACCAGCAGTTCCACAGGAAAACCAGGCTCGTCTGCTTCCCGAGTCAGAGGAAAAGCAATTCTGCTTAGGAAGAAGACAAAGCATTGACTGGCACCTCCCATCCTTTCCTTATTTAAGCATTCCCTGAGTCTCAGAGGCACTGAATGGTGCCAACACACTGAGAGGAGGGACCAGTTCCCTCCTCCCTTTACTTTCAACATCCCTGTCTGCTCCTCACACCGGTGAGAGCCCCTGGCACTGGGCAAAGACATCACTGTGTAACTCTTCCTGGTGCCTTACGCAGGACCTGAGGGTATCAGGGCTTCCTGCTTTTGGGATGGAGCACCAGAGCAAGCCCAGCAGGACCTTTGTGTGGCCGTGGCTACAGCTGGAACCGGCAGCCAACAACTCCGGCAAAAGCTGCTGCCCATCAAAGCCTGGTGAGTCACTGCAGGCTCAGAGAACGAGCAGTTCCTTGAGTGTACATCTGACATGTTCAGTAGGATAGAGAGCTGATAATCAAATTTTTCTGCCAGATACACAAATTATTTTTGAAGCTCTGTATTGCCACTGTTTGTGGACAGAGTCACTAAAACTTTTCCTCTTAGACCAGCTGCTGTGAGTCATTTCCTTGCTAAGCCATATGGCATAGCTGTTATGTCACTTCGTTTGGAAATGTGATTTATTTAGCTACGATAGTGCTTTATCTCCCTTGTGTTTGTTCCTCTGTACATGCACATTGGGCTCTTGGCACAGGAAGATGTATGTCCAGAGAAAATCCCTGTGAGAGCAGTGGGGGTGTAGCAGCCCCTTACAGGCAAATTGTGACAACGATCATCCCTGAGGGCAGCGGGAGCATCCCTGAGAGAAGGAACAGCTCTATTCTAGTGCTGGGCGACACCTGAGGAGCTGACTTGGGGGTGTGTTTTAAAGGGCAAGAAGAAAGCCCAGAGGGTTTCTCTGGGGATTTCCATCCCTTCAGCCTCCAGAGCAAAGCCAGAGTCCAGCCCATGGGAAGCAACTGGGTAAGTCAAACATACCCCTTGTCCATGAAAAATCATAGAGACCTTCTCACATTGGACACGAGCACCGGTGAGCCCCACACCTGGGGTGTTCTTACATTCAGTGGCAATAAAGCCAAACTCCTTCACTGAGGCAGAGCTGGGAACTTGCACCAGACACCTCCTTCGGAGAGCTCGAAGGCTGGTTACTGCCTTTGGGACCTGCAGAGTCTGCTGGGCCTTGTGGAGCACTTTGATTTGGGAGGTACAGGTGAGGGGATCAAAGGACAAGGACATATCAAATCTTCGGGTACACCCCAGGATTTCACTGTGTTCCCTGGTAAATTAGAGCAGAAATTAATTTCCAGACTAAGGGTGTACAAAGTGTTTGGCACCCAGGGCTGTGCTCCACAGAGAAGCCCAACACTTAGAAACAGAGAGTACAATTAAAGAGCTTAACCAACCATTACAGAGGTGTTAATTCATTGCTGCAATTACACAGCTGTTTGTTCATTAAAGGAGGAATTTAATACAATAATAACACAATTATAATATTTGCAATTCTGCACACTAAAAGTCAAAACACAATTAGAGTTTTCAGGAGCAATGCAAACAGTACTATTTTCTCTCCAAAAGGGCCTTTAGAACTCAGAGCTTACAGAAAACTTTTACTGGGCACAATGTGCTCTGCACTGTATCAGAATATTCCCCATTTGTACTGCTGAGCCCAGAACTGAGAAGAGCTGTGAGAACCCCTCTCTGCAGCTGCAGCCCCCTCCGGCCTCAGGGCCTTCACCCAGTCACAATGGGCACATTTTCTGTCTATAAAGCTCAGCCTCAAAACTTTGTCTTCAAGTGTTAGAACTTTTTCAACTCACTCGGGAAATATTTCATCTTTTTCACATTTTCTCTATTTTTAGAAACAAACTCACCGCTGCATTTCGGAATTTACACACAATTTCACTGCACTTGAACCTATAATTCTGAAATCAATGAGCTATTTAATAAAAAAGTTAATCCAGATACTGTGAGGAGGTGTGGGAATGGTTTTCAAAAATCACTTTTTTTATACAATAGTGTTGATTAAATCTTTGCAGCTGCTGCTGAGCTGCAGGATTTAGTGGAGGTGGAACAGGGAAGTTTTCTACACAGAACAGGCATGATCTGGTGTTCATGAACCATTGAGAGTATTGATTTTGTACCTCACTTTGAGCATATGGAAGATGACTGTGGTCTATTAACAATGCAGACACTGCTCAGGTTATCACTGAGGGTGAGGAGCTGCCCTGGTATCCCTGGGTAAATCCCTCTGAAGGAAGGAAAGGGCATGGAGGCTCAGGCAGGGTCAATGATACTTCTTAGAGATGTTCCTTGTCTAATGCCTAAAACCTCTTTTGCATCAGTTGGCTGAACCATTCCATACTTGCCACAGCGGCTTAAAGGCAAGAGAGAGGAGAAGGAGTTTCCTGGACATTTTTACTCCCATTTGCACAGTGAAAGACACCCAGACACCCATCCTCTGACCCCAGAGATCACACAGGAGGTGCAAACAATAAGTGCTCAGAGGGTGAGCACTATTAAACATAACGGGCAAAGAGGAAGAGACAGAGAAAGGTGAATGAATCAAATCATCAGGATTTACCACCAGTTTGGTTTTGGTTTGTCTTTCTTTTAAGTGTAGTTTGGTATGAAATAAGCTATCACCTGGAGATTACACGGTAAATGGAGGAAAAACTGGAACTATAGCTTGGGCTGTTATGGTATTTAACTCTAACAGCAGTTACTAATGAAAAAGTGAAATTAGTTGCATGCTAAAGGTTGCACTTGACTGAGATGAAGTGGATGGAGATAAAGCACCTCCAGTACATCCATCAGTCTTGAGCACATGCTAACAGGAAATCAATTAATCTCCACCAACATTTGCTCTTTCTAGTGTGAAAGACTTTTAATTAACTTATTGTGAGTGGTCAGTAGCTGCTTGCTCTGGAAGAGCCTTACAGATTTAATGAAGCACTATTCTTTCTGAATTTATGTTGGAAAAGTGACAATGACGAATTCTAAGCTGAATTAGTTGCCATATGTGATCAGTTAATGGAAAACCTTCCTCATCCCAATTATTATTAATTCCTGCTCTGTTATTTTTTTCCCATTAAGCACCAGACTTCTTAGGCAGTGAGTCCAGGAGCAAACATGCCGTTGTCGCTTGGCAATAAAGCCATCAGTACGCAGGAAAATCCCTTTGGGCCAGGCCTTGGTCCATGTAATACTCGTTTGATGCTTTCTTCAGTCGTCAGCTTCAGACACCAGTAAGAGCCACAGGCAGAAGTGGAGCGGAGAGAGGAGTGGCTGAGTTCCCCCCAGACACACTGGTCTGATTTTATGTTCATTTTCTCAGATCGCCCCAAACATCGCTGAGCTTTGTGGGCTCAAACAGACAAGATTTAGGTCCATAAGGAGAAGATATGCCTGATTTCTGCTGCCTGCGCTCCTGCCCCTAAAGAGGTGGCTGTGGAAGCGATCTGAGGAGGAGGCAGAGCGGATGAGCTTGTCTGCTCACCTGTGCAGGTGTGAGATGTGGGGAGCGCTGGGAGCGCTGCCGGACGATGGAGCTGCTGAGCACAGCAGTGCCAGTCCCTGCCCGGCCTGGGCTGTGCGGCAGCAACATCACCGGGACAATGAGCAAAGAAGCGGGGGTCGGTTTGAGAGAGCTGTTTCTACCTTCCTGCCCCATCAGTGTTCATGACTTCCACCTGCACCGCCTGCAGGAGTGGCCTTGTTCCCACTGAGCCAGAGGCTCACGCTGGTTTAATGAGGTGACTTTTTAAGCACAAAGTCAGAAGTTTCCTGATTCTCGTGATGAACATGGGAGTACACACACTGCTCCAGCTCAGGGGGAGACAGGCACACCTGGAGCCCCTTTATACCTTTCTAATGACATTGCTTTGTTTGTTTACTTGGTTAGTTCTGTATTGACAAAGTCCTTCAGCTTTAACTCCCATGGGTTATCACTGGTGGGAGAGTTGTGCTGGGACACCAACACTGTGCTACAAACAGGACAGAGACACAGAGCTTCACCATGGCTTCATTAATGCCTCTGTGCACTTGTGACAGGAACATTAAACAAAACAGCAATTCACCAGAAAAGCGTGTGCTTATTTCTCCGTGTTGCCAGTTGTGAGTCAGAGGAATGACCCAGGTTCCTCATGTGAGAGGAGGCAGGAGAAGCTGCAGCAGCACAGGACAAAGTGCATCGACCTTTCCAAGAGAGAACTTAACAATGGCAGGAATCTCAAACAGGGAAATATTTTTATGGGGAGTCAAGTCCGTGGTTTTCAACAGCAAATTCTTTCTGAAGATGATCCCTGCACATGTTGCAGAGATGTTAAAAAGTTCACACAGGTGACAGGAGAGAAAATCAACAGTTAAATACGTTATAGAGATGGCTCAGGGAGATGAAAGAAGGCATTAAAAACACCAAACCTTGTGTAAAGGTTAATTAAAATATTAATAATGCAAAGTTTCAATTATTCATGCATAAATAAAAGGATGTTTAATGATAGACACACACTGAGCTTTAGTATGGTGTGCATGACATTGGGATAGAGGGAACATAGGGGAGCTTTGACTCAGCACAGAAAGTTGCTGTGGAGCACAGAAGATGCTGGACAAGGGGATGGGGTTAGACACGGGATCACAGGGCACAGGGAGTGGCTCTGGGTACCCCTTCTCCGGGGGCTCCTGCTCTGTTCAGCTCCAGTCCCACGGGTCCCATGGCAGCCCTCGTGTCCCCATCCCTCCAGCAACCCGAGGATCAGGAGCAGTGTTGGCTTGAGTTGAGTGTGGCTCTGCCAGTGCATGTGGGGGGCATGGGATGGGCAGGACCACCAGATTTGATCCACGAATGCAACATTTCTGTACAGTAACAACTGAAAAATCCCATCATATTTTTGCACTCTTATTTTCTATGGATCACAGAAATGTAGCATCCTAGAGCAGCCCAGGCTGGAAAGGACC